AGCGTGGCGTATTATAAGCAAACACCAGGACATAAGACCTCTTTCAGGGACACAAGTTAGGAAATGAACCTTTTAGTAGAAGTACTACCACAATTGCATTAACAAAGAAACAATTTAATGTGAAAGAGTTACCATATAAGCACTAAAACATAATGTTAAAATGTGAAATGAATGTCCATTTTCCGCACAGGAAGACTTTCCAGAAAGGATGCCCAATGAGAATTCTACAAAGTTGTGAACAAACATGACAACACTAAGCTTCTGTTACAGCTGCCCCAAAGTTTCCCATCACACTGTATGGCGAAATTTTGTCTGCCCGAAAATATCTCGGCTAAGAGCCCACCCAACAACACACAGCTGCATAGCTCATACTTCACAGTCAGAAATATGCTCACTCCAAAATAAATTCCTGGCTATGCCATTGGCGAAAAGGGTAAACCTTGCCATAAGCTGATTTGAATATTACATAGAAGTCGCTTGGCACCATTAACAAATCACCTAACAAGTGTTACGCCAGTATTTGACTCACCGGTTAGTGTCTCTTGCTACATCTTCATGAACGCTTTGCACGCCAATTTCCAACCGTGTGCAACCGTATTGAAGCATATCTCTGAAAAAAATCAGTCAACTTAAATGCATGTTTCACACAGCAGAATCACTGTAGATAAGTTGGAAAGTATGCACTGTGCAAAAGAACTGCTGCTATTAAGAGCTGACCAGCAAGAGTTTCCTTAAATATAGGAATCAAAGAATGATTCCGCAACACATGACTCCCAATATTTGTGTCATGTGTCTTTTTGTCCACAATGCTAAACGTGTTCTAAGAAAGCCCATGTCCTAAGGTCTGTGCACCATTATATGCCCCGTACCAAATTTGCGCTGTGTATTTCATCACTATGAACCAACTTATAAAAATTACATTAGGATACTTTTTGTCCACACTTGGCTTGTTTTCTTTTACACACTATAAATGATCTTTTCTTTATTTTTTATTTATAGAATTACCTGCAGTGCCACGAGGGCATTATAGCAGGGGGGTAACACGATTAATCACATAAACGCACATATGTTTACAGAAAGACCTGTGTAATGTGCTATGTGTAATATAGATTAGCAACATGCACGAACACCTACTTTAGTTGTTTCTTCAAAACAGCCACTGCCCAGCATACCATATGACTAGTACTAACATCAACTAATTTGCTACATCTGTACACCATTGTGTTTTGCATGACATTCACAACTGTAATAAGTCGAGACTAACCCAAGGTGCCTCTTGAGACAGTAGTCTGGGCGTGTCTCGATAGTGATGCCGATGCACTTCGTGCGGGCCCGTTCGCTGTACCTCACAGCCTCAGCCACTGAGCTGCTGGTGTGCCCCGACAAGGCGTCGTGCAAGCTGCGGATGAACCGATCCCTGTAATCTTCGGGTAGACACATGAACGTGCCCCCCATCACAATGAACTCCACTTTGTCCACAGAATGGCCCAACTGCTGGAGCTGCATTCATAACAGCACATGCTAAAGATTCAAGCAGAAATGTGCACTACATCACGGTCACTAGCCTAACTACACCGACTGCAGGGCAAAAGCCTCTCCTATGTTCCACCAATCAACCCGGCCCTGTGCTTTCTGTTGTCACATTATACCTGCAAACTTCTCAATTTCAGCTGCCCACCCAACTTTCTGTCTCCCTCTTACATGTTTGCCTTGGCAAATTACCTTTGATGACTGCATGCATGGCCAACTGCGTTGTTAAGCATACTAAGGTAGTCACGTACGTACGTAAGCTTTGCTGATAACTCTGCCAATATGGTGTGCACTAAGAGTTACTTGCTGCCTAATGACAGCAGTGTTTGTCAATACTCTCGCAGCTATTAATGTAAACAAGAAAGGCAAAACGGAGGCTATTTAATAAGCACATAATGTCTAAAGTGAGCTTTCGAATGCTTTGGGTCATTGATTTCATGACGGGTCTCAATCAAACTTACCTGCTCAACACGATGCCTTGTCTGGAGAAAGGGATCATACCGGGCCCGGATGGCTCGCATAGATGTTGGCTGGGCAAAAATATGAAAAGCCCCATGTGCACTTCATCAAATGCTCATGCAAATCACGCTGCAATGCAGTTGATCCTGGATCAAAATTGTAAGCGCTTTTCAAGTACATTTACTGCATCCAACATATTCTGCAGTAGAATTTCAACCAACAATGCATAGAAACTAAAGTGTGCTGAGGCAAATATATATATATATATATATATATATATATATATATATATATATATATATATATATATATATATATATATATATATATATATATGTGTGTGTGTGTGTATGGGAAAGAAGTGCATACTTTAGGGCTCATTTTTTCATGTTTTGACACAATATTAATGAGCTCTAACAGACAATAATGGCAAGGGATGTGTAGGGGAAGTTATTAGACCCAATTGTAATGTAAATGCGAAGAAAGAAAAGTTGGTGAAAAGATAACTTGCTGTGAACAGGAACCGATCCTGCAACCTTCTAATATATATATATATATATTGATTACTTCTCAGCGCTAAGTCACCCTCAATTATGTTAACGAGTTTGTCCTACCATCTAATGTGCATTGTAAAAATACGATTGGCCTACAAAGCATGGCTTTCTGCCATGTTATAGTGGCTCATGCCACAGAAAAAATTCTTTGCTTGGTCAGTGAAACCTACATTTCTGCGGAAAAAATGCAAGGAGCTTACCTCATAACCTGTGTAAGACTGGGTGGAATACTCGAAATCCGAGTCTGGACCGCCAGGACAGTATCTGCAACAACACCAATGACAGGCATCCTGACGGGAAGTTTCTGATTATACAGGGCTAGCATAAATTATTCATTCATTCTGGAAAGGCTATATTTCCAGAAGTATGACAGGTACACACATGAAACATACCAACAGAGCCGAGAACTGACCAAGTGTTACTCAACCAATTTTCAGCTGACACTCAACAAATGTTCAATATATTAGCGTTGAGGTTACACAACAATAAACAAGCTCATTCAATACATTCTGTAGCATACACCTGTCAACAGCCTGCCTGCACTGCAGCTCTGATGCGCTCCTCGACTAAGGATTGCAGTAGCTAAGCTACCACCTATCTTACACAATGCAAACTTCGTGAGTTCGTGTTTTCTATCATACATAATGCATATGTGTACGTGAGCTTTTTTTGAATGAACAATTTATGCTAGCCCCGTATGAGAGCACCTATCGTTCGCTAACGTGTATACAAAAAAAGACGGTACACGAGCGCTTTCTGTATTCCGCCACTAACAGAATGCGGCAACCGCAGGAGTCAGCAATCGAACCCGCGACCACGTGTTGTCATGGTCAACGAATGCTTACACGCATATGTTTCCCGTCATGTTGATGTGGGGGCATCGGTGAGGCTTGCACATGACCGCCACAACTGCGATCTGCAAAATAACCACGTCTTAGAATGGCGACATACGATTCAGACTTGAACGGCTCCTTACCCCACTAGCAGTCCGTACCGGCTTTGCCTTCAGCTTCGGTAGAAGTACCTGCACGACAATTCAGTAGCCAGTCACACCTCGCCAACAAAAAACTAGAGGTTCTCACTTTTTTATACTCCGGAGGCATAGCAGCGATGATGTCAACGATCTTCGGTTGGGAACTGAGACCGTACTTTGAAGATATTTGACACTTGACGCTGAAACGGCGACGCAATTTGCTGTAACATCGAGGCAGCTCGACGGGCGCGACGATGCCACTCACCTGTTGAGATTGACATCCTTGCGTTCCTTCTGCGCTGCTAGAAGTTCTTTGATGATTTCTGATATTACCTTCACTTTGAGGGCTTCCTGAGAAACGCCTGTTGTGCGAAAGAGAAATCGTCTGCGCTACGCACACTGACAACCTGACAGACTGTCAGGTCCAATCGTTACTCATCACTCACCTTTCTGTTTGATAGTCATCTTCGAATTACCACTGCACGCGTACCGTAACTAGGAAAGAAGCGCGGATCGTGCAAACATATCTGCGACCAACCACAAAGAAATTTCACAAAGCGCACATGCACGCACTGCTAACAACACGCACAGGGCGCCGCCATCAACAAAGACGTCAAAATAACTCGTGAACGACGTGAGAATAAACACACGTTTCTTTACTTGACTGCGTACGAGCCGCCATGAGCCGACTTGGCCACGGCCTTTGTGATTAGTTGACTATTTAACCTGTGGAGACCGCAGAGGCTTTTTTCACACACAAAACAAAAATGTTGAAGGCTACGCTTTTTTGGCGCGAGCTTCGCGATGAAAACATCTTTTAAATGAGGCGCTGTTACGGCCTCCGAGATGAGCCGACTCCGAAAGCAGTTTCTAGTACATCCGAAAGCAGTTTTCTACCCTTTTGCGGCGCCTGCAGCGCTCAGCTATTTCATTGCTTCATTCTGTTTAGCGGAAAAGTATACCCTGCTGAACATTTCTGCACTCTCTAAAATTATTTGTGACTAATTTAAAACCATCAAACTCGCCAAGCTATGTGTTTCTAAAACCCAAGATCAAGGGGCTTTATATGTTCCTTCTTTATTTAGCTGCGGATTTCTAGCCGACTCGCCTCACTAGGCAGCATCACAAGTTGAGCAAGAGAGTAAAAATGGCCAGACAAACGTTAAGTGGCCCAAAGCAGAAGTTGTTTGTGATCAAACTTTCATTTGAAATGTATTTGCATTGTTCATAGCCTGAAGCTTTTCTGAATCTTTATTACAACTCCCTCCCCACGTTTTCCACTACTAAGTATGCAGAACTGCAACACATATACAGTTACGAAATTTCCCAACTATAAATAATTTAATGCTTTCACGCAGATCTTAATGCACATGTAAGAACAGTCTATGAAAATAGTATTGAAATATGCCACTACACAATACATAAAAGGTGGCCAAATAATAGTTTTGCTTATTTAGAAGACTCACAGACACACACACAATGAATTCATTCAGAATTAAGTTTAATATGTTCATTCAGTTCCACCCAAGCCAGCAAGGGCAGATGCTAAGGAGTCCGAAAGTGCAGATGCAACCTTGTCTGAAAAATAAAGAAACACAAACAAAAATTTTTAACGTGCACAATTACTCATTCGGAAGCATGACATGTACAAATACACCCATGGAATCAAAAACTGCAGCCAATCCTTTTGTTTTCGCAAAGTAAGTTTCTCCACGAAAGCCCTAAAATCTGCACAATTGCTTGGGCCAAGCCTGTACACGAATGCTGAATTTATGAACCACTCATTATGATAAAAAAATCGTGTTAAAGATATGTATACCTTTGCAAATGTTTCTTCGACCTCAAATATGGAAGCTACGGGAAAGATAGCAAGTGGTTCTAAAGCAATGGTGTATTACTCTCACATCGCATTTTCTACTTAGATTTCAGCATTTACTAATAAAACACAAACACAATGTTGACTGCCAGAGTGTCGAAACGAAATGTTTTACGTTTTGGTTTTAGTAGTTTCGTGCCATCGGAAAACAAAATTTCATCTGGTTCCGTTTGTGTTAAGCAAAAAAAAAAGGGGGAGGGGGGATTCATAATGGTTTCTATTTGTGTACAAATACGAAATTAAGGTGATGATAAAAATATTGTAGATGAAACAATTTAACTGCTAAGTGAATTACACATTCTCTGAGCAGGCTAAACACTTTGTGTAAAGGTAAAGAGAGCATGATGTTAGAAGTAGCATGTTATTGAGTGCGTACCACATGCGAGACTGCTGTTCTAATAAAACGAGCTTGAGTACTGACAGAACTATGCCATGCTGGCACATCTAGGTTCACTACGAGCCGCTGTACGCGTTAGCCAAGATGTGGGGGAACGAATTCCGCCGAGCGGCAGCTTACCAGATCGCTTACGCTTCTTGAGCATCTTCTTGAATTCTTTCCGTCGAGCCTTATTCTGTTGCAGCTTCGGTTCAATGACACTTTCACTCTTGGAAGCCAGCCTGGAGCTTACCGTCTTCTTGCGTGATGCTTCCGTCGTCCACTGCGGCCCGACTCCTGTCGAAAGTAGCCAAGTGAAAAAAGGTCAATTTTTTTTTTCGTCGCACTTTCATTGCGAAGCACGTTTCCCACGTTTTGTGCTGTAGGAGTGAAGATTTTTGTATTCCTTGTAGTGTTCAATCAAATTCTGAGTGCCAGGTTATCGATTAGGTCGGTCACATGAGGTAGTGGAATTATTCTGAGTCAATTTTTACCCTTCGGTGTGTTTCAACAGTGTGCACCAAAACTGTCACATTTGAGTTTTGCCATTCTATGATGCTGCCGCTAGTGCAGCCAGACACGCAACTGACAGCAAGTCTGGATTGTTATACCAAGCATAGACACCAATTACGATTATATATCTTCTCACGCGTTACTTGCACAAAAAGTTTTAGATAATTAGAGCTCAGGTCAAGACAAAAAAAAATACAAATTTCGGCCAGCAATGGTGGCTTCACGGCAGTGCTTCATAGCTAAGCAAGGATGCCAGCTTTGTCCCAATACGTGGGGAACATTTTCAGAATATTGTCTGCGAATACCGTATTTACTCGATTCTACCGCGCCCTCGATTGTAACGCGCACCCGATTTCCACCGCGAAAAAAAAAAAAAAAAAACCGTAAGACATCGATTGCAACGCGCACTCATTTTTCTCGCTGGCCCGCACGATCACACCACTCGAAAAAACGACTCCTTTCGGGAGCGTCTTCCATTTAAATTTGAGGCACGGGCGAAGCTTGTGCCCATCTGACGTGTAACAGAGCATTGCCGTCACTGTAGTTTTACCGTGGACCGATGTCAGCACGCGAACTTGCTTCGCCCCTTTCTTCTCGACGGTTGTGGTGCCAGGCATGTCGAAGTAAAGAGGCGTCTGATCGGCGTTCCCGATTTGCCCAAGCAGGTAGCCGTTGTTGCGCCGAAAGTTTAGGACGAACCTCTGAAAACTTTGAAGCTTTTCATCGTACTCCTCCACAAAACTTTTCGCATATGCATGTTCCCCTTCGGAGGAAAAAGCCTTTCCTCTTCATAAAGTTAGTTAGCCAGCACCTGCTCACTTTAAACTGGCTCCGCATTAGACCTTTTTCTAAGACTAATTGCATAGCCCGCACTTGGAGCAGTTCTGTCGTCACGGGCCGCTGTGCCGCTCGCTGCTCAAGCACATACTCGCCGAGCAGCTCTTTAATTTGCAGAAACCGACCCTGCTGCGGTCCACTGAAGCCTTTGCGTGAAGCTTTGCTGTCGACAATCTTCTGCTTTTGTTTCCGCGGGTCCCGCACGCACGTTTCGGGAACTCCTAATGACCGCGATGCGGCCCGATTTCCGTCCGTTTCCGCACACGCGATGACTTTTCTTTTAAAAGCGGCATCGTGGTGCACTCGAGTTTTTGGAGTCTGCCCTTCCACGCCGTCGATGGTAATGCACTACTAGATGACAAACTCCTCAGCACACGTATGAAGTGCCGCACATGGAAAACACATAGGCAGAAATGGGCGATGCGCCATGCCGACGCACGTAGGAGGCGGCCATTTTGGATTTGCCGATGGCAATAGATTGACCGTAATTTTTTTGTTCGAACTCGATTCTAACGCGCATGCGATTTATGAACTCGCTTAACCGGAAAAAAGGTGCGCGTTAGATTCGAGTAATTACGGTAGTTGCCGAGGAGGCTGGTTACACAAGAGAAAGTGCGCTACTTGCAGCACAAAACGCCTACCACACCTCATTTGACACAAGCTGCACTTGGATCAATGTTACGATGCAGCAGACAGTTACCAAGCAGGCAAAAGGTGACAGAACTTGGCGTTCGCTTTCCCAAGAAAATTCTGTGTGCTCTGTAACCATATTCTGAATGGTGTCTACTAGCACATGGTGTTCCCTACCTGGCCAGTGTCCATCGATGCGGTGGTTTCTTCCTCGGGTGCCATGTCTGCCGTTCCCATGGATTCCAGAGGAACAACATCCATTGGCCGAACTACGGGAAGACCTGGAGCGAGAAAGGTGATTGATGATGTAAGAGCCCTCATCGGTGTGTGTATATATATCCTCAGTGTACTCCAGTGCCATTTTTCCTGGTTCCCTTAAGTTCAGAATTTCGAGGCCACCACAGCCTGTCCATCCAGTGCGCCAAAGTGGGCAGGTGTTGAAACAGACCAGTAAAAGGTCCAGCTAAAATTTGCAGTCACAAAGAAGAGTTGCAAGCAAATGTCGCAACAAAACTGTGCTTTATTAAACACAAGCTCTGTTTAGTCATTTGGAAGTGCTATCCAAAGAAAAATAAGCATGTTGCGTTTGTGTGCAGGCCTGGCATTTTCCTTTCCACCTCCCTTTCCTTTTTTTTTATTGGCTCTGGGACACAGTGATATGCTGGTAAAATAAAAATAGCAACTCAAGCACCAACAGTAACTTCCCACTAGTGCTCATGCATGCCCTAAAAATGACCGCAACATCAATAAACAATGGGGCAACAAAAAGGTGGAGGGATTCTGAAAAATGCCCTTTACAAAAGATACGAATTTCCCAGCTTTCCGTGCCTCCAGGTAGTAACTTATTTTGCTCACGTGCTGCTTCTTGCCAGCATCCACGATTTTCACTTCACTTTCATTCATTTAGTGTTAGGGCCAAAGCACTACAGCGAGGAGCATGAGGTTGAAAGATACACCAGACACAAAAAACCTCCGAGCGTAAGATTACCTCGGTCAGAACAGTAACTGTAACAGTGACATGGTGGTCGTTGGTTCAACTACAACATCAGGAACTGTTCATTTTAACTACACTTACATGCTCTCCGAAAGTTCAGCAAGAAGCTGATATTTTCAGTAATGACAAAGTACTTTTGATGGCACAGGGAAAGATGAGTGTGTAAAGGACTGAATAGGCAAGGAAACCTGGATAGTGCTCAGTGTGAACCCGTATTATTATGACTGAGAACAAACATAACTTATTAACAGTAGTGTGCCTACTTAGTCATCTCCAAGCATGCTTACTCTTGTGAAACAAAGTATAAGTGGGGAGTCTCACCTTTCAGCTCATGCTCCTCTTCTTCGGCGATTTCGTCCAAGTCAAACTCGGCTGCCATGGCCGACACGATGCTGGTGCCTTCCACACTCGACTTCTCCTCGGGAGGTTCCGTGCAGTACTTGATGCGGCCACTAGAGACCACAAAAGACATTTCTCTTTATGTGCCCCGTCTCACGTGAAGCTTTTAGATGTTTAATGATTACTGACACGAACTTTTCGGACTGTTGCTTTTAATAGAGGAACTGGTGTTGAGAAACCTAAAAAATGCATTGTGGGGCATGGGAATGCATTGAATATATTGCTACGTAGCTGACGTATCAGCGGTCAGAAGACGACAACGAGGAAGTGGTCTGTCGGTTGCGCGTGCTGTCTTCCATCTTAGTCGACGCCATACGCATCTGTTTGAATATAGATTTTAAATAGACACGCCTCGTGTCATTTTTACGTAAAAATATTTTTAATACAGCTACGCTACCCTAGAAGAACACTAGTGGTTCCAAAAAACAGCGTCGCTCAGCTGTGAAGACTGAAAAGTTTCACTAATATGCACCATAGAAACCATTGTGAGAGCGCAACAAAACAGAACACACAAGGAAAGACAGATAATGACAGGCACAAACTACCAACTGGCTTTACTCAATGAAGAGCCACACCTCTATAGGTCAACACCTTGCACAGGGGCACCACCACAACAATCATGAAAATTTAAACCAGACAAAAAAGAAATAGGAAATCAGCCTTGTACAGCGCAATGGAGACTGAATTCCAAAAAAATGTACAGTGCTTCGCGTTTTCGAGCACGATCTAAAACAGTGAGCGACTTTATCGGTGCAGATGACGTAGCTGTCTTTGCCTGCATCGATGTCGAGATCATGGCTGATGTTGCCTGCGCTGCGAGATGTACTACCGGTCTGGTTGCCGCCGCCAACCAACCTCGCAAGCTCTGTACCAGGCTACGGAGCTTGCATTGGCGTTTGGCATCAATCAGCGCTATTGTGGCTGAAGGAGCTGAATTTGCTCATTTGTAAAGCTTCAATGATATTGCAGATGACTGGAACTTGGCAATGCCAGAAGCCAGACAAGTTCATAGACTAATTTCATGCAAAATAAAGTGTGGTAACTTGCCAAGTTCAGACCTTGTCCTTCATCACACTGTGAGCGAATCGTCATGTTAGCGCTTGTTACCGATTTTCGAAACTGTTTTGAGGCCTTGAATGGCTTAATTCAAGCCTTATATACGCATAGTTTTTATTTTGACATATCGAACTATTTCACAATGCCCTTCGAGTTCGATATATTTTTGTTACTATATATTACTATTTGATTTTTAAAGCACAGGACTGACAAAGAGGACAAAAGAAGAAGAAGAGGCTGGCGGCTAGGGCCTCAAGAGGGGATACAGTGCCTCTCAAATCTTCAGCAAGAAGGGAAAGGAACAAACAAAATTAAGACAAAGATAGCAGCGACGAACCAGTTCCAGTCGGAGAGGATCTTGCGAGCTGCTGCCCCTGCATCAGGCAGGGCACCCTTGCGAAGCCGCCCCATACGTTTTGCCAGCATAAGCAGCAGCTCTTCTGGCGACCCATACTCGGGTAGCCGGTACTGGAGCATGAGTTGCTCACGCGATGCTCGTCGCAGGATGGAGCAGGCAGGCCCCACGGGGTCCTCCAGGGACTGGGGGCTCTTGGCGTTGCGCAGCGCCACCGTGGCCTCGGTCGCATCGCCCGAGGCCAGCACTACACCGGGACTGTCTAGCAGCCACACGTGCTTGTCCAACTGGACTCGCTGCATGCACCTGCACAGACAGTCCGAGATCAAGAATGGCAAACCACATCGACAATCTTAAAACATGCGTCGGGTACATAAGAGTAGATGACAAATATCAAAAGGCAGCATGAAAAGCGACAGTGAAAACGAATGGCAACGGTTCTTACTTCGTGACACCAGGCACAGCTCCAACAGTGCAGGCTCGCGACCTCTTCAGGCTGTTGACCAGACTGCTCTTGCCGACATTGGGATAGCCTGCACAAGTTTGCCAACCACTCAACTCAAGGCTGCAAAAGACACCGATCTATAAGGCAGGAAACCTCCGTGCCCAGTCGAACTGCCAGACATTCGCAATTGTGCCAAGAAAACGGTGGGCACAGAATAGAAGGCACAAGCACAAGCCAACGATTTGAGAACTTGTTGCCGTAACAAAGACAAGATTTCACTGAGCCAGTTTGCTCCTACGAAATATTAATCGCTACAAGGCATCAACATTTATTCTTTCCTACAAAAATTAGACCAGCCTTTGTTTCTTCAGTACAGACAAGCCTAAGCAAGCCTCACTCAAATAAACACTTGACTACTCTGTTTTGAGCAAATATTGTCAAGTATCAGACATGATTCAGCGTGCCATTCCAGGTAATATATTTTATGACCATACAGAAAGGCACTTCAATTGAAGAGAAGTGTGAAAAAAATTCCTGAGCCTCTAAAAAATCTTGAAACATTACTTTCTAAAAAGATTTGTCGCTTCTTATCAGAGTCACCACTTTAACTATAATAAGCAGATTTGGGCTTCCCTTTTCGCCGAGTTGCTTGTACCATTTTCCAGTCGCTTGTCATGTTCTTTGGGCTTATTTGCAATTTTCTAGCAAATAAAGTTATTTTAGTGATCACCACATTCAAGTCGAGTAGCTAAGTGTTCAAGTCAAACACAGAATAGGGAATTAATAGCACAAATCATATACTGGCAAACATGCCTTCGACTAAACCGAAAGTGCCCTGGGGAAAATGTTCAAAAATCAATATGTGCTTTCATTTATATTTGCACATACTTTTGCTGTTAAATGTAATCATAATTTTTCTTTTTTCCTCTATGTGTTACACATTTATAAAAATAAAATACTTTCAAGAATGGGAACAATAATTGAATTTGCACTTATTTTGCCGTAAATCCTTGTTTATTAGCTCGGTGGCATACGGCAACTCTGCTCCACATTATATTGGTACAAGTATTTTAAAAATCTGTCAGCATCATTTTTACCTTATTTATGTGCTTGGCCTTTTGCTTATGTGGCGCTTATATGAACATGACGCAAGTTAAGTGAAAATTGTACTTGTGCCCCACGAGTGACAAACTACCAGTTGTACGGAACAGAAAAAATAAAAATAATGAAGAGGGCACTTCATCATACAAGGTCAGTCCTGTGAATACTACCAGGAATTTTTTTTTTATTACGATAGCAATTATATAGACACTCTCGGCCAATTTTTGTTGTCGCTGTCATGTCCCAAATATGTATATCTACTTATACAGGGTGTTCCAGGTAACTTTAGCCAGAGTTTAAAAATATGCCGACACACGCGATTACGACGTGACCAAATGCATGTTGCTCACCGTTTTCTGCAGTCAGACTATTTTTGTGTTCTCAAATATTGTTTAATTAGGTATGTTTAATCACCTAACTATTCAAGAAACGAAGACAAATAAAAGATTTCAATGAGAAAGTTGTAGATCTGTTTGCAAAACGTCCGATTAGACAGTTTTGAAGTTTACATCTGTTAAGTATTAGTGTTTTTCTGCGAATGACAAAGGCCCGCGAAATACAAAAAATACCACGTGACAAACCAACTCGTGCGCGAGTGCGCACAACGATTCTAGTGCTCCCTAACTTTCCACCAACGAACGACCATAGCATTTGCCCCATTGTGCTGTATCCGCAGGCCCGCAACGATGGTGGTGGCTTTACGATGAACACATTTTGCTATCAGCCACAAAAACGCTAACTGCTGTGACTGCTAATCGCTGTCATGAACCGGTGCGTGAGAAGCGTGTCGTTGGCACGCGGAATGTTAGAGAGCACTAGATTCATTGTGCGCACTGGCGTAAGAGCGGGTTTGTCACATGGTATTTTTTGTGTACTTAACAGATATAAAGTTCAAAGCTATCTATTTGGACGTTTTGCAAACCGATCTACAACTTTCTCACTGAAATTGTTTATCCCCGTTTCGTTCCTTCAAAAGTTTGTTAATTAAACAGATCTAATTAAACAATATTTGAGAATACACAGAAATAGTCTAACTCTAGGCAATGGTGATCAACATGCATTTGGTCACGTTGTAATTGCGTGGTCCAGCATATTTTTAAACTCTGGCTAAAGTTACCTGGGGCACCCTTAATATGTAAAAAAAAGGCATAAAGAAAAATACATCAGAGAACAATTTTTTACGGCAACATACTGGGGATTGGACCAGCGACCCCTCGCTTTGCAGCCCGCTCTGCAGCCCAACAAGATTGTGGACCTTACCCCTCTGCCTTCTGTTCATTGCATGCAGTTAGGATTTAAAAACACTTTAAAAATTTTTAAATGTGATAAAATCAATGCCTAATTATTATGTGTGGTGTTGCCTCACCCAGAGTCATCCATCCAAGAGCATCTGATAATTCAAACTTCTTGATAATTCAAACAAAATTCAAAAGTCCCTTTGAGTTTAAATTAACGAGAGTCGACTGTATTATTGTATTCAAATGTAGCAGGTAGCACCTTCAGTCAAGTGATGATAATCAGTGGTACATTGCAAAATGAAGTTAAATGAAGACACATTATTACACAGGAGCCCTAATTAATCCAAATCTCAATGCTTCTTGCTCTTTCTTAGCCACTTAACACAACCATACGTTGCGCACACGAATGTCTACAAAGTGCTCAAAAAGGTTAAGGGGAGACGTGCCCTTCAAACAGATTGTCCTAGGAGTATTACACCTACATAGGACACTATGTGATAAGGAGTTAATACGCAAAATGAGCTCATCTGCTTGGCTCTTCACTGCCCTGCAGCCTACTGACCCACGACGCCGACAGTGATGCACCCCTGGATCCCCTTGTTGCGACAGTAGTTGCCCAGCAGCTTCAGCAACAGCTGGGCACCCAGGCAGGCACGCGTCTCCACATCAGGGGCCGCCTTCTGCTGGGACTGCAAGTGCAGGTCACCCAAAAAGAAAAAAAAAGTTCCATGAACGAAATTTCTAACCCTGCACCTGAGAGTGTACAATGCCCAACCAATTTTAGCAGATCGTACAGAGCTTTACGTGGCCAGGGAAAGTATTGCAGTCTCTTAGCCTAGGCACGTGTAAATATTTGAACAAATATTATGGTATTCGATTCGATATGATCTGACATATATAAATCGCATAAAACTTGCTGTAGAGGTACTCCCGCGGAAGTAAAGGGGTGCTACACAAAGACTACATCTATTCAGGGGAAATCCGCTCTGCCGCAAAGACCCACTTCAAGGTTAAACTAGTATATTTCCCTAACTTTGATTAACCATTTTCCGAGTGTAAAAGCTTATTGCTATAAGGTTAATAAATACATGCTATAATACATGCGCCTTATATTCTCTAATTTTAGCAAAGTTTAAAACATATCACAGGTTAACACTTGCATTCTACCAAAATTCAAATAATGCTACGATGCAAAATTATGTCCAATTCCTTTGAACAAAAAATAATGTCATTTACATATGCCTTGTTTCAAAGTAAAAAAAAAAATATTGCGGAGGTCAGTCTGCCGTATGGCGGCCATATTTGTTACAACAGAGCATGGAAATGTCAAATAATGGCACTGTTATGGCGTTTATTAGCAGGCACACAGCGAGTATACGCAATGACGACAGTAACGGCCAAGCACGGACTCTCAGCGCGAGCGGCGTCCTTTTTTTGGGTAGACCCACTAGAGAACACTTGAGAGTTTGACCCACTTCAGTGCTCGGCGGCTTCTCTACAATTACCCCGGGGTCGAAGAGGGAGCCGCCTGGCGACCTAACAGCTTGTCACTACGAGCGGGTCATAGTAAGCCTTCAGGCGCTCCACGTTGACTATGTCGCGCCTGCGACGGCGCATGTCCGAAGATTGTTCAATTGGCTCGACAAGATAGTTGACTGGAGATGTGCGCTCGAGCACACGGTAGGGACCTTCATATTTCGGGAGTAGTTTGGAAGAAAGGCCAGCTACAGAGGTCGGGATTGAGAGCCATACAAGGGAACCAGGAAGGAACGTGGGTTCAGAAGTGGCGGAGCCATCATGAATACTCTTCTGCTGCCCTTGCTCATGCGTCGTAAATGTCTTGGCCAGCTCGCGACACTCTTCAGCAAGCCTGGCTGTCTCGGAAATAGGTGCACACTCAGATGGATCCGGCGTGTACGGGAGTATCGTGTCGATGGTGTGTGACGGGTGCCTTCGGTAGAGCAAGAAGAAAGGTGAAAAACCGGTCGTGCTCTGAGGGGCGGTGTTGTAGGCGTAGGTGACGAAGGGAAGTATAGTATCCCAATTCGTATGGTTGGCGGCGACGTGCATAGAAAGCATGTCGCCGAGGGTGCGGTTAAAGCGTTCGGTCAGACCATTCGTCTGCGGGTGGGTAAGCAGTTGTTTTGCGGTGGACAGAATGGCACTCCGTGAGAATGGCTTCGACGACTTCTGACAAGAAGACACGGCCTCGATCGCTGAGAAGCTCCTGAGGTGGACCGTGGCGCAGTATAAATCGATGCAGTAGGAAGGACGCAACATCATGCGCAGTAGCCGCAGGGATAGCGGCGGTTTCGGCGTATCGCGTTAAATGATCTACGGCGACGATGGCCCAGCGGTTACCAGCCGACGTCAGAGGAAGCGGTCCATACAAATCGATACCTATGCACCCAAACGGACGCTCAGGGCAAGGTAACGGTTGCAGACTGGCTGGCGACATGTGTGCTGACGGTTTGCGGCGTTGGCAAGCGAGGCAGGAGCGAACGAACTGCTGCACGTAGCGGTACATCCCGCGCCAGAAGTAGCGTTGTCGAATGCGACGGTAGGTTTTGAATACTCCAGAGTGCGCGCATTGCGGATCAGAATGGAAGGATTCACATATCTCTGACCGCAGACTGCGGGGTATCACGAGTAACCACTGCCGGCCATCGGCGTCGTAATTGCGTCGGTGTAGAAGGCCGTCACAGATGGCGAAATGGCGAGCTTGACGACGCAAGGCACGCGTGGATGGCGTTGCGGATGGATCAGAGAGCAAGCCGATGAGCGGGCCGATCGAATTATCCTTTCGCTGTTCGGTAGCGATGATGTCAACATCAATGGCAGAAACAGCAGCCGAGGATACTGAGCAGAGCATATCACCTTCAGGCAGAGGGAAGCGCGAGAGGGCGTCGGCGTCAGCATGCTGGCGTCCGTTGCGGTACAGCACGCGGATGTCGTAGTCTTGTAAGCGAAGAGCCCAACGGGCGAGACGGCCTGAGGGATCCTTCAATGATGAAAGCCAGCATAGTGCATGATGGTCGGTGACGACATCGAATGGGCGACCATACAAATAAGGTCGAAACTTTGTAAGGGCCCAGACGATCGCCAGGCACTCTTTCTCCGTGACGGTGTAGTTTGTCTCGGCACTCGTGAGCGTACGGCTTGCATATGCTACAACATATTCGGGGAATCCGGGTTTGTGCTGCGCCAGGACAGCGCCGAGGCCTACACCACTGGCGTCCGTGTGCAGCTCCGTTGGGGCCGTAGGGTCATAGTGGCGTAGAATGGGAGGAGACGTCAACGAATGGCGGAGCTTTGCCAACGCGTCGTCGCACTCGGATGACCACGAATTAAGGGGCCCGTTACCTCCAAGGAGCTTCGTCAAGGGTGATATGATCGTGGCAAAGTTTCGTATGAAGCGTCGGAAGTACGAGCACAGGCCCACGAAACTACGCAGTTCTTTGACGGACGCAGGTTTGGGGAATTCGGCCACGGCTTGAAGCTTGGCTGGGTCAGGAAGAATGCCATCTTTCGACACGACGTACCCTAGGATGGCGAGTTGACGTGCGGCAAAGCGGCACTTCTTCAGATTTAGTTGCAAGCCGGCATTGCTCACACGTGCGAAAACGTCTTTTAGACGTTGGAGATGCGTGGAGAAATCTGGAGCGAAGACAACATCATCGAGGTAACACAAGCACGTGTGCCATTTCAAGTTGCGCAGAACGGTGTCCATCATGCACTCAAATGTCGCAGGTGCATTACACAGACCAAACGGCATGACGTTGAATTCGTACAAGCCGTCGGGTGTGATGAAGGCAGTCTTCGGTCGAGCGTCATCAGCCATGGGTACTTGCCAGTACCCCGAGCGCAGATCGAGAGAAGAAAAAAATTGGGCTTCGTGAAGGCTATCAATTGCGTCATTGATGCGCGGCAGGGGGTAGACATCCTTGCGAGTGATCTTACTGAGCCGTCTGTAGTCCACACAGAACCGCACAGAACCATCTTTCTTCGCAACAAGAACAACAGGAGACGCTCATGAACTGTCCGAGGGCCGAATGACGTCGCGTCGGAGCATATCGTCAACCTGCTCGTTAATTTCCCGGCGTTCAGCAGGCGACACGCGGTAGGGACGTTGCCGTAATGGTGGATGGGCAGCAGTGTCGATACGATGTGTAACAGCGGACGCGCGACCGAGAGAACTTCGCCTGACATCGAAAGAAGATTGATATTCTCGCAGCAGGTCCAGAAGCTGGGAACGCTGTACCGACGTAAGATTGTCATCAATGTAGGGGCCAAATACATCAGGAGATGATGAATCATAAGTGGAAACAGCGCTGACGGTACAGGAACTGGGACAACGCGAGTCATCAGGTATGTCCAGGACTTGTGCGTTATCCACTGGTTCCACTCTGCCGAGACATTCCCCTCGAACCAAGGTAACAGTGTACGGGGATGGGTTGGTCACAAAAATAGCGGCGTTGCTCTGGGTGATTTGCACGGTCGCGAAAGGTACTAGCAACCCTTTCCTTCGGCAAGCACGGTCGGATGGCGAAACGAGTGCAATTGTGTCGAAGAGTCCAGCGCAGTAGACAGATACACCCATCGCCGAGCTTGGAGGCACTATGGTATCGTCTTTCACGAGAATCCTACTCAGTTTCGAGGGACTGTCTTCCGGCGTCAAATGCGAGAAGGGTGAGAGTTCAATTTCGGCAGCGACACAATGGATGACGGCGTCGTTGCGGGAGAGAAAATCCCACCCCAGGATGACGTCATGAGAGCATGCAGGAATGATGATGAATTGGCCGACATACAGAACGTCCTGAACGACAACGCGAGCTGTGCACTCTGCTGAAGGATGGATACGATGTGAACCAGCAGTACGAAGAGACAACCCAGAAATCGTCGTCGTCACTTTTCGAAGCAAGCGGCGAAAGTTTTCGTCCATAACGGATACTGCAGCTCCAGTGTCAATAAGAGCAAATGCATGAACACCGTCCACAAGCACGTCTACGACATCAGATGGGCGGCTCTGAGGGCTTTCACATCGCAATAGCATCGCAGTCCTTGCCTCGGGGACTGCGACGACTAGTTTTCCCGCTCATGAGTAGCCGAACTTGGCCTCATGGGGGACAGGGAACGACGTCGTGGAGACGGCGACCTTCGAGGAGATGGACCTGGGCGAGACGGCGGTGGCATAGACGGTGGTTTGTCGTGATAGGGACAGCTGAGGTGGCCAGCAATAGGCGAAGAAATTGGAGCCGGCTGTACACGATGGCAATAACGGGCTACGTGACCGGCGTAACCGCAGGCAAAGCAGATGGGCCGGTTGTCGGGTGTGCGCCATCGGTTCGCTGGGGTAGGTCTTGTCCATGACGCAAGAGCCGATGGACGAAACGGTGGCTGGAAAGGCTGCATGGGGTGCTGGAGCTGAGTCTGAGAGGTCACGTCAACATATGTAGCCGGCATAGCCACTGCAAAGGATGGAGGTCGTGCAACAGCTTCGGCGTAAGTCAGTGGGGCGGGTGGTTGAACGACTTGAGGCGGCCTGGCGACCACTTGGGTGTAACTTGGGGGCGCAGGGGCCGGAAGCTGTTGTGGTTGGTACGCAGGCATGACCTCCGCTATTTCCTGCTCAATCGCTCGACGAATGGGTGGAAGAATGGTAGTGGCCGATTGTTGAGCAGCCGGTGGGTGGGCAAAGGGCAGGAGAGAGAACTGCCGCGCGATTTCCTCACGTATGAAGGACTTGAGGTCTGCCAGCAGTGCCACCTGATCACAGCTCGCCTCCAAGCCTGCAAGCCCTGCATGTCGTGGTGTGGAGCGACGGGTCATCGAACGCTGCCGGCGGAGCTCCTCGTAGCTCTGGCACAGCGTGATGACCTCAGCTACTGTGCCTGGGTTTTTGGCAAGCAGCATCGTGAAGGCATCATCGTCAATGCCCTTCATGACGTTCCGGATCTTGTCTGATTCGGACATGCTGTCGTTGGATTTCTTGCAGAGGTTCAGGACATCTTCTATGTAACTGGTGAATGATTCACCGGCCTGCTGAGCGCGTTCGCGTAAGCGCTGCTCGGCTTGCAGCTTACGAACGGCAGGGCGGCCAAAACCGTTGGTGATAGCGGTCTTGAAATTGGACCAGGTTGCGAAATCGGACGCGTGGTTGTTGTACCACAAGCTTGCAACGCCCGCAAGGTAGAACACCAAGTTTGTCAACTTGCCGTCCTCGTCCCATTTGTTGGGGACGCTCACGCGCTCGTAAATAGCGAGCCAGTCCTCCACGTCAGTGCCATCGGCGCCCGTGAAGATGGGTGGATCTCGGATCCTGGGGACACCGGGACAAGGGGGTGGCATGGGAGGAGGGGTTTGCTGAGAGGCGTCGTGGGACATGGTAGATTGCAGGGTACGTGAGCGCAGTTCCCAGGGCATCAAAAGGGATCGTAGCACTCTCCACCAATTTGTTATGGCGTTTATTAGCAGGCACACAGCGAGTATACGCAATGGCGACAGTAACGGCCAAGCACGGACTCTCAGCACGAGCGGTGTCCTTTTTTTGGGTAGACCCACTAGAGAACACTTGAGAGTTTGACCCACTTCAGTGTTCGGCGGCTTCTCTACAGCACAAATTGTTTTTCATGTCCCTTTTCACTCCAGAAGTACTGTAAATAAAATAAATGCAACAAATTCCCTCAGACGTTGGATCTTGTAGATGCACTGTTATAATAACTCATTCTTTCTTTTTTTGCAATGATGTCAGCCATGATCCAAACTATGACCTAAACACTTCTTTCCTTCCGGCTTTCTGCTTCATGTTGTCTCAATAACTAAAATCTTCCACAGCAATGGGCCATTGTTGAAGCCTTCTGTCCCAGTAGGACATTAGGACATATGTGTCTGTGCAGGCTTTATGAGCGTTTTTTTTTATTAGAAAAAAGACAAGTCAAGATGAACTTTGGCACATCTGTTATCTACCATAGTACAACAAAACACAATGACTTTATAATGAGTGCGCATCTACTCAGCAAGGGGAACATTATGTAAGCATGTTTAGAACGATTTGTACGCGTGTTCATCAAAGTACACCTGTGCGCAGCGTTTACCATATTTGTGTTCCCATGCTATCAATTGTGTAGCAACACTTCAAGTTTTCTCATAACTGGGTTGATCGACAGAACATGGGAGAGGCCTTTGCTCTGCAGTGGGCATAGTACGGCTGGCTGATGATGACGGTACACTTCACCTAGGCCACTGCGGCCTTCGTAATACGAGATTTCTCATGGCCTCCTTTTAGGCCTCACGAACCACGCAAAATGCTCTAAGAAAGCTATTACAGGAACAACACTCACCAAGTGCTGCTTCTGAGACTGGGTGGATGCCTTGAAAGCAATGGTGGGCAGCTCTCGACGCAGGTAGCGCAGCCATTTTGTCAAGTTCTCTCGTGGAATCAAATCTGCAAGATGTGCAGGTCTCATGCTTCCGAGCTTATTTCATGTGTGATTATATGCGCTAAGGTCTACACTGCCCACAATCCGAAACGGTAATAAGCATGACTGCCTTAACAAGAAAATTCCAAGCATGGCGGATTCGCGCTTCCTGCACACTTGAACTCACAGGACATGAAATTCATGAATTTAGGACAAAGCAGTAGCCATAGTTCAGTTCCCATGAACTCCACTTCGTGTGACCCTGGCATAATCTTGGCTAAGCTCAAAGTCTCTCATATGGCGACCATATTTGTGACGACAGGGCATGGAACTGTCAAATAAAGGCACAAATTGTTTTTCCTGTCCCATTTGACTCCACGCAAGTATTGTAGATAAAAGAAATGCAACAAATTTAATGGTGACATTACGGTGATAACCCTCATTGGTATCCTCACATGTGCAATCTTGAGAATAATTGCAGTAAAGCACAACAAAGAAATAGCGAATCCCATGGCATCGCAGCCCATGCAATTTAACTTCACCGATCGATTCTGAGCAGGCCCCCGAAGCCTTCTCAGGCATAAATATCGCACATTTGTAATTTTACAGCCTTTGATGTCTCAAGCTACCATCAGCAACATTTCACAAAGACAGGGGGCATACGCCTTTCTTTACGCGCACGAACATTTTCAAGAACATTTTCTTTACCTAGAGTTATTGAAAGGTGGGACGAATGAGCCGGTAGTATTCGTGAATTGCCGTCAAATTTTGTAGACACACTGCGATAATGAATCATTGTTTCTTTTTTTTTTAGGTATGATGTTAACCTTGTAATCAGCGTATTTCGTTCATGTAAATATACCCCACTCCTGCAATAGCCCTGTAGAGGGCTGCAGTTGTATTTGGAAATAAATAAATAAATATAACCTGCCTTCAGCTCTTCGTTCCTTATATATACATGTACACAAGCGAGCATACCCGACTTCATCTTAAGTTAGTTTACTTATGAAAATTATGACCCTACAAGACAGGCCGTCTACACACCTTCTGCAAACATAAAACCAATTTTCCTACTTTGATTGTAATTCTAGATAAACTGAGAAAAGAGGCAGAAGGTGCGATGAGTGGTTATGTCAATTGTCCCCACATACATCGTAGGCCCTGAGACTGCTTGTGACCATCATAGCCTGTCTTGTTGTAGCTTCGAATATGAAAAGATACATTAAAGTAGGTACACACCGATCTTGTTGAGGAGCAACACAAGGCGTTTTCCCCGTGACTGCACCAGCTGCTCCAACTGTGGACTGCGTGTTCCCAGTGGATCCCTGGCATCAAGAACCTGCAATAGCAGCACAACACATGGCGATATGCGATTGAAAGCTTAATTTCCTAGCAACGGTCCATATTTTGGTAAAGTGCCAAGGAAAAACTCAACTGGCAGCAATAACGATGAACATAAAAAAATGAAGATATGGACTAAAAGTTCTCTAACATTAAATAACCAAGTTGACCGACAAAGAGTAAAAACCAAGAACTCATCAGCAAGTTTTCACTTTCCATGTCAGTAAATGCACCGAGTAACTAGGCTATTAAGGAGGTTACCTTACTTCGAGCATTCTTCTTAAAAAATCTATCTCCGCATGCAAGTTCTCAACATTTCATTTTTGCCTAATGATACCTCCACCTCACAATGAAACTCTAGACAACAAGTTGCTTAACCAATTATGGTTCTGATCAAAACTCATTGTGCGCTCACGTCACACACTGAAGTGTTTGTGAGCTGAGAAAGATCCACACTGAGATGCAGAAATGGCCAAAAGGTTCAGTCATGAGGATAGATAAGGCAGCAAAAAGGTCCGGAAGCAATCCAAAGCCTAGCAATATTTAAGAAAAGCATCATTAAAGGCTGCAAACAACTGGTGGACTGACACACTATATCAAATAGCAAAGAACAAAAGCTTTCACGGTTGTGCCAAACTATCATGGCAACAATCCCCCAGAAAATGCTGCCATTTCATACACTAGGTGATAACATGCTATGTTTTCCAAGTCATCTGGAGTGTTTGTATAATTGTTTGGCTACCATGTAGTGCAAGGATTTTTCCTAGTCATGTGTGCAAAATGAGTGCATCACTAACCTGCAGCACAACGTCAGCCCCCTCTACAACTTTACGCAGTTCCTGATATCCTGTCCGGTTAGACAGCTCCTTGAGAAGATGGTCCTGGCCTGTTTGCACCAGGTGATCATGCAGCATTCCCTGCAAAAAGAAAGAAGAACTCCACACATTACACTGGCTGTTATTTGCTGCTAGCATAGACTGAAAAACAAAAACAGAAAAAAGCTTTCAAGTGCCAGAGAAGAGAGCACCACAGCAATTCTGTGAGCATCTCTTTGGCATTCGTCACAAAATGTTTTGTTATATTATGCTTATTGATAACTCATCTTGGTGAAGTAATTGAAGCACAACTCTGCACACTCGCAAACACAATGATAGGAACAAACAGCCCTCGAAACGGGACAATGAGAGGACAACACACTAGGTGCTGACATGAACACAGGCAATCATACGAAATACTCACAGGGTTGTGTGTAATGTGAGTACATGAGCCATGATCCAAACTGCAACCTAAACACTTCCTTTATTTCGGCTTTCTGCTTCATGTAGTCTCAATAAGTAGACATATTTTTATTTATTTTTTATTTATTAATACTGTAACCCTCACTTGAGGGTCATTACAGGGAGGAATATAAACACAAAACAAAAACAATACACAATGACAAAACAGACATTACGTTTCATGTTGCTGGTAGTACAATTCTAGCGAACACTCAAACTCTTTGACATTTGCGCTAGTAACAGCGTACTCTGAAAGTCTATTCCACACTTCTATACTATACGGAAAAAAAGAATTTTTAAAGCCATCCAGACGCGCCCAAAAAGGCCTTATTGGGTGACTATGGTTCAACCGAGCTCCTCGTTTGGGTGCAGGTTGTATGTATGTGTCTTTATTTATTTTGATTTCGCCTCTTATAATTTGAAACAGGAGTTTTAACCTTTGCTTTTCGCGGCGCACTTGCAGGGGTTCTAGCGCACATGATTTTAAAAAATTTGTGACGGATTCTGTCCTCCGGTACCGTGAGCAAATGAAGCGCACTGCTAGCCTTTGAATTTTTTCTATTTTATCTCACAGTGACTGCTGATGAGGACTCCATACAGAAGACGCATACTCCAAATAAATCACGGCAATGAGCCATTGTTGAAGCCTTCTGTCCCAGCAGGACATAAGTGCCCATACAGGCTTTATGAGCACTTTTTTCATTAGCAGAGACAAGCCAAGATGAATTTTGACACGTCTGTCATCTGCCATGAAACGGCTAAACACAACGACTCCATAATGAGTGCACTTCTACTCAGCAAGTGGCACAGTCTATAAGCATGTTTAACACATTTTGCAATTGCAAACAGCTGCAAGGTTAGCAGATGGCACATGCGAAGACTCCACACTGAACATTCCAAGTCCCAACCATCCTGCAAATGTTGCCACTTACGCTGACAGCAGCATGCTGGGCTTGGCGTTTAATGGCATCAGCCTGTAATTCACCGAGGTCCCGGTGTTTGGCGTGCTGCTCCTGCCGAGCTTTTTTCTGGCGGCGCCGCTCCTCTTCACGCATCTGCTGCTGCAGCTGTGCCTCCTTGAGAATCGCTCCTTTGAAGGGAAGGCTGTTGGGTATGCCAGGGTCCTTTGGCTTGTCTGCATTCACAAAGCCTAATATGAACTAGCCCACAATCAACCCAAGGAAAGTGTAGGAGACGTTATTTGAAGTTACCGTGCCATAAATGTAAGGAATGTGAAGTGGACGAAAAGACACTTTGAAGCACGTAGGGAGCGGACCTGCAACCTTCAGATAGCGTGTACTACGCTGTGCCAATGGAGCTATGGCGGTGGTCACTTTCTTGTACACTTATATCGGGTCTATCTGTGCATTTAAACCTAAGAGAGTTCAGCGCTGCTTGTAGCCATGACGGCGAGTGTAGACGCATTTTTCTTTCTTTCTTTCGTTTTCTTGCCGGCTAACGACATGCCACATGCATCACACAGCACCAACGACATGCACCTGACTAATAATCCCTTGCGCACTAACTGAAGGCATCAGGTCTGCCAGAACGAGACCCCTGCTCTGAATGAAAGAAGTTCATATGCTTATCTTTGTCAGACACAATTTGGTCAGACACAATCTTAACAGGAGAAAGAGGACACGACACAAGGTGACGCACTGAATGATCAAGTATAGAAATGAACCAATAAGAGCTAGACACATACTACTTCAGATGGCAACATAGCACAATTACGTACTTTAGGATGGCATCACTGAGTGATGAGCCGGTGACAGAAAGCCTGTCATTCCTACATCGACATGACTGACAAGACAACCAGCACATGAGCACCGAGATTATACTGCGCACCCTACACAAGCTTGCTTGACTGTACCTTGATTCTTGACCTCAACAGGGGATTGTTTATGAAATCAGAAGAGTTGTTGAAACTAAGACTAAGGATGGAAAATTAATGGTTTGCCTTGCTTTAAACGAAAATTGAAGCGTTACTAGTTCATCCAGCATAAAATACAGTGTCATACCAAACAATCAAATACTGATAGGAAATGCAAAATGTCAAATTTTGACTGGGAATAATTGGGAATTCTCGTGTCACCAAGAAATTCGCATTTGACTAAGAATACGTTTCTGTTGGCACTCACGTTTGCTGGGATTCTTTTTCGCCTCTCTTCTTTTTTTCTTGAGGTGCTGTCGTACCTGAAATTGTTAACAATGCGCGTTAAACCACGAGGGCAACAACGTCAAGCAGAACTTTCAGAAATGAGAGCCCACCTTCTTTTCCACTTTGTAGCGCTGCCGGCACGACACTCTCTTGCTCATTTTGTCTAAAAATGAATGAATAAAACCGATGAAACAACACATAGATCAAGTATAACGCAAATGATCGATTCAACACTGAACGCAGCGAAATCAAGCTGTGGTTTCATCCAAACTCACTCTTCATGTTCGGCATCGTCCCTTCGTTGTCGTAACAAACACACAATTACAGCACGTTGACTGAATCCTTGGAATCTTCTGTAAGCAAAAAATCTGCTCTTTGCGCGTATGACGCGTATCACAAAGCGCGATCCTCGATTTAAGCGCAGTCAAACCAACGTAATAGACCTCTTCGCTTTTCACGTGGTAGTCCGCACACACGCAAAATTAAATCGACGGGCACGACGGGTACCGTGAAAATAACAAAGGTGTATTTATTGTGTTGTTTTGACAGATGCTTTTGATTTTTAATACTGTACCAAACTAAAACAATAATACTAACTTCATTGAAAAATACTTTGTTTTATATGCAAAAAGTGTAATTTACAGAGCGATATTGATTTCAAGTTTATTATTTTCTTCTAGCAGAAAGCTTTGTGTTCAAGCGCGCTTTTTGAACCAACTTATGACGCACGATTCTGTACAGGTTCTCAACGCTTTTTTTTTTTTTTAAGGGGCCATAGGCTTGAACAGAATATTTTGCAGGAGAGTGCATCCCCATGAAAAGTCGGAGGGTCGCACAAAGCACTGGGCGGGGGGCATCATGCACCAACAGCCTTTCTTTCCCTGCGATGTTAGCAGTGTGCAACATTGATGACCGGCAATGTTGAAATCTGTTTTAAAAACAGTTATACGCAGTATGCGAGTGTACTAATCGATATGTGTAGTTTATTGCTGTGGCATAAAAGAAACGTTATCCTATACACAAGTCAGGGGTGCCCTCCCCTCCCCTTTGCACTTCCCTCCTGCGCATCGACGGCACGAATATTGTTGTTGTTGTTGTTGCCCCTTCGCTCTGGCACATACCCACTATGGGGGATTGGCCATGAAATCTAGAAGTATCCTATATGAGATATATTAAAAGGTTTATCCTTAATGAAAAAACTAATGATGTAATAGAAAATAATAATTAACTAAAAAGGAATATTAAACTAAACAAATAATTGAAGATTGAATCAAGAAGAGAAAAGGTGAGGTAATACTACAGTGGAAGACAGAAATTTTGAGTAGACCAGACAATCGAGCTTATCTCACCCGGTCACAATCAAATGAATATGCAAATTTCATTCAAAATTAGACAAGTGTCGTCAGAAATATATTTAAGCAGGCATTATTCTGACATGCGCTTTGATTCTCGAATGAAATTGCATACAGCATCGAATACGCTCCTGTGGCAATGTCCCAAGCTAAAGGCACCGAAACTTAGAACATTATCTGCAGTTAAATTTAAACCTACTGCTCGAAACGGAACAATTAAAAGTCTTTTCCTAATTAATGAATAGTTTTTACATGTTATAAAGTAATGCTCTATTGTTTCCGTTTCTTCACAGAATGGACACAGGGGGGATATCGCCAGACCAGCTCTGTGCAAGTAAAAGTTTAATGGAGGGACACGACATCGAAATTTGGTTAAAATAACTTCTAACTTTTTAGATTGACTCCACTGAGGTTTCCAGGGGTATGTTAGGTGCTGATAGTCCGTATATTTAGTAATATTTTCCATAATATCCGTATAAATAGCCCATTTTCTATATCTGATCGACACTATGTGTTCCGATTCTGGTAGTACCGAGATCACAGGGCCATCAAGTGTGGCTCGAGATAGTGAATCGGCTATTTCATTCAACCGTATGCCACAGTGTCCCGGGACCCAGACTAACTTCAGGAACTTCACATGAGGTGGAACTAATGTTTGTAATGTCGCTAGAGCTCTTGATTGTTCTGAAGCTGTGAGAGTAGTACACAGCGAAAGAGAATCAGTAATTATCATTGCACTCTCTTCGTTTGAAGGAAGTTTTCGTAGCGCTAAAATAATAGCCAGGAGCTCAGCTTCGAAAACCGGAGTGAAGTCTGGTAGTCTTACCGAGAATGACCAACCGAGGTAATCTGAGACGATTCCTACTGCTGCCTTTTCTTTATTCACAGAAGCGTCTGTGGCTATTATGTTCTTTATTTCCGCATGAGCTATGTAGTCTTCTAACCTGTCATTTAAGTAACTCGAAGATTGAAACTTAGATAGTGGGGGAAAAATTTCATCACATTCTATCGTAATATTGTGATTTAATGCTTTGGTTCCAATTACCGATCTGATATCCACCTTTATGCTTTCAAGTTTCTTTTGTACAAAAACAATCTGGGGAGTACGAAAGCGTGGCCAGTGAGCGAGGAAGAAGGCGTCGGGGTCACTAATAAAGGCATATGCAGACCGTCTCGCTGATAAGCCGTAAAATTTCAAGTATGTTTGTACTGTTAAGATACGGAATCGGCAAAGAATAGTTGGTATGCGAGCTTCCTGATATAGTACATTAATAGCGACATACCTGGGGAGTCGCAAACACAACCGTAACGCTTCTCGCTCTAATAGAACTAACGGTTTAATTTTGTACGTAGGGCCACCCGAAAATAATATACACCCAAATTCGAGTATTGGGCGCATGTACATTTTATATATCATTAATAAGGTGTGTCTACGTAACCCATATTTTCTGTTGCTCAACCTTCGCAATAAGCCTGAAGCTCGTTGTGCCTTTGCCACGATATAGTCTATGTGAGGGCTCCAGTTAAGTTTCTCGTTATAAATAATGCCCAAATATTTGATAGACTCTACTTGTGGAATCGGTTCCTGATTGGCAGCGCGACTTCTTCTTCTTCTTCTTCTTCTTCTTCTTCTTCTTCTTCTTCTTCTTCTTCTTCTTCTTCTTCTTCTTCTTCTTCTTCTTCTTCTTCTTCTTCTTCTTCTTCTTCTTCTTCTTCTTCTTCTTCTTCTTCTTCTTCTTCTTCTTCTTCTTCTTCTTCACGTGACCGTGATCAATGGCGTGGCCACGGAGCGCGAAAGATGCATTTTTGCCTACTCTCGGAGAAATCTTTTTTTTTTAATTCAGAACCCATGAAGAACTTCGCCATAAATTGTGCTTTACTGGAAGCATCACCGGCGCAGTTATGGCGGCCGGACATCACGTAATGCCACGAGCTTTCACGCAATGTCTCGAAAACATGTCATTGCGAACGTAGTCTCAGAAATAATGTTTTAATGTCTTTTTTTATTTATTTATGGTGCCACGCAACTGCATACCTCATGACGGGACGTTTCATTCACGCGAACTAAATCATTCATTACCGAAAATGACACGTACGTCCCATACAGTGGGTGGGAGCCACAGTAACAAGGTGAACAGCGGCAATGTAGTGAAGTGCTGGGGGCTGGAAGCATCGTCCCGTTACTGATTCAACTTGGCTCACTGAATTCTGAAGCTTGCCGACGGAGAACCTTTCGTTACTGATATGTACCCCAGTGTGGTGTTTTAACGGTTGCATCTTAAAGTTTTACCACCGCCATATGATAAGTTCAGTTGAATTTAACAATGGCTTATGATCGAGCATGCTGAGCGAAAATTTCCCCGATATTCTGAAATCCGAGAATCAGCCATTTATTGTTAATATATATAGTTATTTGGAAATTGTTGAATCTAACCGATATAGCAAAGACATCCGTCTCGACGGTCATGTAAGTGCGAAGCACCAACACTAGCCGACACTGCTCCGGGGAATTAAATTTCGTGGTACAATCGCAGGCAGTCAGTAGCGTTCTTCTCGGGAGGTGCGGTTTGGAATACCGCGCCTTGTCTAGGAGATGTCCCATTCCCCAAGGTAGATCATATTCGCCACCAGGATCCTGGAAAGTGATAGAACGTGTGATCAAAAACATAAAATGTCTTCTGGTGGGTTGTTATAAGAATGACTATCAACATCTATTTTCGAAGCTGAGTTTACTCTTCCATACAAATCCCGCGCGAGCATCCCAGCGGCAAGGTTAGTAACAATAAAAATCAAGATTTAACTTTTTTTTGTTCCTCTTTGGCTGTTCCATGCTGCAAGGATCCCCCGTAATGACGAATTCCGCTGAGAGAACAGGAGTAGATGGGTAGTGCAGGGTGGAGTGGGAGGTCAGAGCACTGAGAGTAGGGCCACCTGCCGATGCAATGCGTCTCGCTTGCGGAGAACAGGTGAGAGGGTGAAGAGGGGGGGGGGAGATTTAGCATGTGTTCAAAACATTCGAAGCGCCGGCATTCTCTGCAGGACAGCAGCGAAGCACACTTGAAACCTGCCAGTCACATTTTCACCGATTATCCTAATTCGCCCATACGTAGTAAATTGGTGCAACCATGCATCCAGCTAACGTAGCTGCATACTCAGCCGTCCTGGTCGCCACCCACACAAACTGCACCAGTACTAGGGTTACTAGGAATACTGGCACACCGATGCAGAAACAACAGCGTTGTCAAACTATACACATGATTGCTGTCAGTGAACATTAAGAACCAAAACTAGCTTTTAAAAGCATGATGTAATTTTGTCTGCAGAGTGAAATCACGCTTGCGAATAAATTTTCAAGGCTCTTGAGGGTTCGCCCTTTTGTTTGACGTGAATGAGGCACAACTGCAAATTTTCGTGTCAGTACCGTTACGGGAGGTCATATTGGCGAAGTAGCATGAATAATTCTTGTGATCTGAAAGGCCCCCATGTATATACCACATAGTGCATTAAATGTTAGGCAGAGACATATAGGGCCGGCCCACCCAAGTATTTTTCATTTGTTGCATACGACTCGCGGGCTGAACTTATCGGAACTTAGACTTCATGTGGAACCTCACGGTGATGCTCACATTGACCGCAAAGGTATATAACTTCTATTGCAATAAAATAAGGAAATGCTGTCACGGTAAATACTGGAAGGTACTTTGATACACCGCTCGATAAGGCGCTACGAAGGTAGAGGGGCTTTACCAACACCACCTAGACTATTGCTCCCCCTTCCCTTTTTTATGTTATAAGCCTCTACGATTTCTGGGGTGAGCTGACCTGGCGTATAAACAGTTGCCTGTCACTATCACCCCGAGTTTGAAGCTGCAAAAGAATATTACCAACTGTTGATTATTTCTATTGATTTGTCTAAGTAAGGTTAAAACATCTGGCTGAATCATGCTTGAGTATAATACTTGCTCAGTGGTGAGGCTGCTTCAGCGTGAAAGAAACGGCACCAAATTGACACACAGGGGGCAACTGTCCTGTCTAACGTTCTAAGTACGTGTGCTGTATATAGTCGGTTGCACCTCAAGAAAAAAAATGCATACTCCACCTACAGCCATGGCTGTCCCATCCAGTATGACTGTG